CGTGAACTTTTGGGCGGGAACCCGCTGCAGCCAAAAAAATCAGGACGACATCGAACAGAAGAAACGCACCTCGACCTCCTCTTTCTCGTGCACCCCCGCTTATTCATGCGCGACATCAAAGGAACACAGGTCTTTGCCAGTATCATTATATGCAGACATCATTCCAAAAAGGTCCAAAGATGAAAAGGCGGACAACACGGCTGCTCGCGTTGGCGACCTACGAAATCAATCTATAAAACCAAAGTTGGCGATACGTTGACGTTGAAGGGACAAATACGCATCTCTCTGTATATTCTGATGAGGAATTGCACCAGCCAAGACACGAGAACATCGAACAAAAAAGAGACGTGAGTACCTGCCAAAGCACCGCAATGAGGGATCGCATAGCTGTTCTGGTCGGCTTGTTGATCCCCTTCTCCACTCAGTAGTGAACTAGAGTTAGTGACACTCCAACATCGAAAGAGCAATGGACGCACCTACCAACTACGAGCCTTGTAGCAAATCGAATCTGTCATGAGAGCGGTAACCGGGATACTTAGTCAACGCGCAGAAGAGAGCGCATAATATTCCCATGACTCAATTTGCAACGACGAAACAAGCTCGGCCCGAGTCCTAGTATGAAAATGAATAGACTGAAGGTAATCTTAACTTGTTCGGTTCTCGAAGGTAAGAATGACACCAATGAAAATCTGCCAAGTCCTACCCGTGTATCTTTCACACCACGTACATGCAAAAAGACAAAAGAATCTATACGTAGTAGCAACCTCATAAGTGACATTAGCTGGGATCGAACCAGTCGGCAGCAAGCGTGCTCCTCTTGAGGTGCTACACGTATATGCGTACTGGGTATTGTGGTATATCACATGTGATCAAGTCGCTCGATTAGAGACGCACACAACGTATACGGTACGGTCGTCGGTGGGCCGCCATCCCTACCCAGGCGACATCAATTCAGCTGGTCGGAATCTCCGAGATAGCAATGTCCTTTTTCACTGGCCTGCCTAGGCATCGGGACAATGAACAAGACTTGAGCTGCGAGCAAGCGAACATTCTCTGATGAGTCATTGGGTGCGAATCCGAATGGCGAAGAGTTGGTCGGAATGGGAGAAAGGTCTGTCATGTCATTAACAAACACCGACAAGTCCTCGGACATAGATTGTCTTAGCATCAAGATACCGATGCGCGATCCACAGAGCCGTACGACGACAATTATGAACAAGGAAATCCCTGTGCTCGACGATTAATTACTCGAAGTTGGGACAATCACATGGCTACGCACTAGAGCTTTTATGGAGGCAAAAACCACCTGAACAATCCATAGTTCCCTCCAGCTAGCTTGTCACTTGAACGACAATTAGATCTGCGATCTACTAGTAAAGCGCTCTACTAAGCGAGCTAAGAGAGGATACTACCTGGATATCAATCGAACGTTGTAGTATTGCGTCGACAGGAGAGGAGAGGAGGAAAAACACTTACCTTATTCATACATCACATCGGCTCGAATCGAACAAGCTCTTCCACGCCCTTGCGCGGGTACCGATGCGCCATATATGACATTGTGTAAGGGTGGAGGATTCGGGGAGGGGGACACGGAGAAAGATAAGTAGCTTGAAGATAAAAAAGAAATTATTTTCATGAACACGAGAAAAACGGAGCGCTTACCAAATGTTAGGACATTAGCAGCACGGAGCCTCCCTCTCGGACCAGTATACTGTAATGCAGATACACCGTAAGGATGAGGGAGGGATCGTAAACATGGGAGGGTTAATAACGATCCACGCAAAGAGAACATTTCCTTCTCCATGATGGAAGACCTACCAGTTTTTAATTTGGGACTACGGTGAGAAGCGAAAACACAGGAGAGACTGATTCAAAGAGTATGGCTGACTTTGCCTGGGTCCAGTCTTTGCCAGAAAAACTGGTGACATTCTATGCCTAATCGCTATGCCATCAAGTAGCCGGAATCGAACTTAGCCAAGAGGGCCGCTGCAAGCACGGCGGATACGAGTCCTAAATCTATGTACAGGTCGTTCCTTCGAACGAAAACAATGCTCACGAGGATCCCGGTCCTTCGAGTGAGTTAGCATGGCATCCCAGTACGCTCTGCGTTCTGCTCTTACCGCAATTAGACTGGCATTAAGCAAGCTTTAAAGTTTAAAGTAACCCGATTTTTTAGAATTGGAAAAAAATCATCGCACGCAAGAGAGTTCGAAACCTCAAGGCCTCACATCCTAGGCTTAATTATGGCTAAGCAATGCAGATATCGACTAGACTATTCACACATTTCATAAACAATAATTATATTCTATTTATAGGTGGACATATACTATTTCAGAAATAAATATATATATATACACCTTTGCAGTGAACAATACCTGCACAGGCGTCGTGGGAGGGCATGCTGTATGTCCAAATGAACGGTCTGCGGGTCCTCGTGGCGGTCACAACATCGATGGGATGGAGAAAACAGACGGGGAGGCCTCGGTGCCGCTTTCACGGTGATGGAGAGGTCGGAGGGAGAAACGGACATCACCACTGGATTCCCCGATGTTGAAAACGGGGTAGTGATGCCCTGGTGGTGGTTGCTAGGCTGTAGGGATGGAAATGGGGCGGAAGGGGTTGGGATCGGAATGGGGTAGCGACCCACGACGACCAGGACGTTGGGATCCCCGTACACGGCGGGTACGTAATCCCCCACCCAAATAATGGGGGATTCTCCAGTATGAGAAGGCTGGGGGAGATCCATGGTGCAGGGGACGCCGATGTTGATGTTCGCCAAGGTGGACGGTGGTGGGCGAGGCAATAGTCGTGGGACCATGGTTCTGGGTACATTCGTTGCACCCTCGAGTCGTTCTTCGAAGCCTAAAAGGGTGCGTCCGTCGTCGTCGTGGTGCGCTGCCAGTGTCCCGATCTTCATCCTGCCATCCTCTTCGATGTCTCCCACCCTCCAGCGTGTTCCCTCCACGCTCTCCTTCCCCAGTATCCCTCCCATAGATCGTCCCATAGCACCGCAATGGAGTATAACGGCACCCACCCACGTCGTCGTCGTCGCCATCGTTTCGTTGGTCATCGTCGGAAGTGTCTATGTGCGCCCCTTCCCACGCCGAGATAACGGCCGATGTCAAATCCCAGGACGCGGCATACACTCTTGTAGTGTGCAGAAGTCGTGTACGGCGGCGATAGGCACCAATGTCGATGCCGGGGGGTACTGAGTGGGTGGGGATGGGGATGGGGGTCGGATTTGTGGCCATGGCAGCGGTCGGTGTGGGTCGTTGTCATTGTGGAGCCTACTGGTGTTGTCGCCGTCTTTGTGAATGAATGAATCACAGTGCTGCCTTCACCGAGGGCTTACGCGGGGGGTGGGGGCAGGATATATGCAATCCAGAGCTCTTGGGGCCGCCGGATGCGTGGAAAGAAACTAGAAAGCAATTAGAAGTAATAAGATAAATAAATCATACCTTTAATGCTAAGAAAGAGCACAATCTACATGCTATACGGGCGTGGAGGCGAGACGAGGTGGTGGTCAAAGGGAGAAAAGAAGCTGCACAGCCACTCGATCGCTGCTCGCTTGGTCGGACCGCAGCGATCGAGTGCGCAGAATAAGTATCTACGAAAGGAACATGAAAAGTACTAGTAGTAGAATGAAGAAAACATGCCTTTTGTGTACCATTCAGCTTCGTATTGGCACACAATTCGGCGTGGTAAAGGTTGACATGAAGGCGGAAGTTAAGCTGTTGCCATAAAAGGGCCAATATTTGTCGCTGTTGAATTCTAAGGTATAACTTAAGAACGCTCAGGGTCCTACCTGCGAAATCGCTCAGAAAAGGACGATCCTCGTTACCTCGGACTCGTAACCAGACTGAGGTTCCGCCTGAACCGTTACACCATTAATGGCCAAGAGTGCCTGTCTCCCGATCCCGAATCGTTAACCTTGACTCTTCCCGGCCAAATGGAGAGAAGACAAAGATAAATACGAAAACAAGCTTACCGTATTAGCTGGAGCATCAGATATCTTTCACGGCGTAGAGATGCAGAACTAGGGTAGGAGGACTCGGAGCGCTTCTCGCCATGAACCAGAACAAGTAGTACACTAACTTGCTTGGGGAATCAAAACACGACAATAAAAATAGCAAACCATTATAGCATAGAATCGGTGCTCCTCAGTGAACCGTTGCACCATAACGCGGATACTGGACTCTAAAAACTTAGCAGCTTGAGAGAGAGAAAGTTCCCCAGCACGGAAAACCCACCAGTTTTGAATTCTGAAAAAACAAGCGGCGGCGAGGGTGGTGAAAAAAAAAAATTGAACTTCTATACAATCATGATCAAGCAGCTGGAATCGAACCAGAATGCGAGCAATTAATGAACCGTTATACCATTCATGGCTGGAACGGAATGCGACTTCCAGTGATTGAATGTCGGTCCCCCACCCTGGTTCGATGGACTACCCGTTTTGAATTGGGGAGCGTGGGTGGGAGAGGAGAGACCGATTCGAACGACTCGTGCCAAAGAATCAGCTTGAGTTCACCTGCTGTTTAGCCTTTGCGTGAAAAAGTAGCCACACTGCCAACAACTTTCAGTATGCCATCAAGTAGCTGGAATCGAACCAGACTAAGGTTCTGCTTGAACCGCTACACCATTAATGGCTGTGACAGACCAGGAGTGCCGGCGACCAGATTCCGAATCGTGAATCTCGAGTGGGTTCTGGTTCATCCTGTTCGCCACACCCAGAAATACGCTGAATAAAATTAGAAAGCTTTGAGCCGCACGAGCAGATTGGACGAGGTGACAAATCAGATGGTCTGTCAAAAATGATACCAGAGTCCGGATACATGCCGGAGGAACAAGAGGATGAGCACAGGTATCAACAACGGGCCCACAAAGACGACTAGGAAAGAAGAAAATAGTCGTGGGATGATTTCTCGTAAGCCATGGTGTTTAAACTTTTGGCCTAAGCTCCAAGGATTCGAAATCCAAAAAAGCATTATTACAGCCTCACATTCCCTCTAGCCGACTTGAACGACTGACCTCGTCATAGGTATTTTTCTTTTCGACAAATACTAGTGACGCGCTCTACCAACTGAGCTAAGAGGGAATACACCTTTTTTAACATGCTGTGGTGTGAAGACCAAATGCACGCTCAAGGTACCGGAGGTGTGATTCAAAAAGCGGGGTAGGAGGGACGTGCGTGAATTAGAATATCATCCCACTCGAGTCAAAAACTAGATCTTTCTACGTCTGAGGAAGTTGCCTAGCCGACTCGAAACGGGAGGTACAAAAGGGAAAGGAACGTACGAGCACAACACCTTAGGCTCGCTCATTGTCTTGGGAAGTGGGCCACATCTAGGTTGGGGAATAAGTTTTGAGTCGTAAGCGGGTGACGAACCAGACATGCGTAAAAGGGTGAGTCGCAGAGCCATTAATGCGTTAGGGTCGAACACGGCGGGTCCAAGAAACTCTGCTACACGATCATTCAGGAAGAAAACGACGCTCAGCTCGAATAGGACATGAGCTCGGATCGAACAAGCTATTATTTTGCGCACGATCCCGATGCGCCATCATGCCGTGAGATAAAGCGGAGGTTAAGACACTTTGTCGTCAGCGCTGTCAGATATAACGCAATAATGGCACAACACAACAGCCGAGCAGGGGTGATAATTGACAGCAACGACAGGCGGTAGGTACAGAATGACAGTACGTAGTAGACAGTCCATCCGAACAATGTTTTGGAGGGAGGGGTATAATATGAGAGTGCGTAATCGTTCGTATATAGGTAGAATGTGCCCCAAAAAGTCTCGTCGAAAAAGCCAAAAGAAAAAGAGTCTTTTTAGATAGCGACGACCCATGCCAAGACAGCGGCGAGGATGCCGGCGCCTCCGACCTGCGCGCGCGAGGCGGCGTTGAATGCAGAGGTGGAGGCGGTGGATGCGGCTGAGGAGGTGGAGGGCGTGGTCGACGACGCACGGGTAGAGGAGCCTGATGCCGAGGCGGAGGCGGAGCTCGCACGGGTGGAGGACCCAGATGCGGAGGCAGAGCCAGATCCAGATGCGGACCTAGAAACACGCTTAGCGAACGAAGGGCTAACAGAAGGAAGGAGACTCACGCGGACACGGAACCGGACGAAGCAGACGCAGAGCCACTGGCACTTGCACTACCGCTCGCACTCGCAGACCCCGTTGACGACGCCGAGGCAGACGAGCTGACAGGCTCCGAAACGGAGAAAGTACCCGTCTGAGCGTAGATATCATTGATATTCGAGATATTCACGAGCTCGATGGTGTATCCATCTCTGCGAAGTCGTTAGTGTGGGAAATAAACCAACAAAGAGAGAGCGAAACACACTGGGCGGGGATCTGGGGGAGGGTAAGGCTGAGAGAGCCGAGGCTGGAGTCGACGTTATTGGCGATAGCGTACTGGTTGTTGAAGGACTGGTTGATGAGCTCGATGGAGAACACGGACGGGTCGCCTGAGGACGTCTGCCACGTGATGGTGATGGGGCCCGTGGAGGTAACGGTCTCTGTCGGGTTGCTGATGGTCAGTCCGTGAACGAGCGTCAGAGGGAGGGCGGCAAGGGCGAGGTAGGCGGAGAACATCGTGAAAGGAAGGGTTGGGGAAGGGAAGGAAAAAAAATGTGGGAATGATGAGGTTTTATTTGAAGGGCCACGTGGGAGAGGAAGTTTCGTGAAAAAGTTTTGATCAACTTCAAGGGGTTACGTATGTCATTCATCTCCTTCGCTTCCGTCATCGAAGTTCTCATCATCCGTGCTCCCAATGTCGTCTCCCATCTATACCCTCTTCTTCCTCATTAATCATTCATCGCCAGGTGTCGGCCATTTCTCGCCGTGTCTCAGCGCGGATGTCCAATTTCATAATTCCACATTATCTACGCCCATTTAAACGCGTCCTTCTCGAACCGAAGCCCTTGCTGCGCACACCGCCCTCATGATCCATCCCGAGACCTTTCATACCACGAAGAATATGACCAAGCAGTATGGCGCCACCGACCCTGGCAAGCTCGTTCGATTCCAGCAACTGCTATTTAAGTTATCGTTTTGTTTTTCTCATATTATCCTCTTCTTTCACTGCAACGCGCTTTAATCCCAGGTGCACCCGATCCCTCTTAGTTCAGTCGTTACTGACAAAGTGTAAGCCGTTCAAGTCGGCTAGAGAACCTTCAATGTGGAAGCTCCGCGGGCTCGTCTTTTATATCTCTCCCATTGGGACAAGCTCGTTCGACTCCAGCGACTGTTCACCCAAGCCTATTGTTTTTCTCTTATCCTCACCTGCTCGTACGATCTTCTGCTTTCAGTGCAGCGCGCTTTGATCCCAGGAGGTCCCTCTTAGTTCAGTCGTTACTGACAAGGCGGTAGTCGTTCAAGTCGGCTAGGGAGCACTCAATGCGATAACAGAGCTTCTTTGTGGTTTACGCAGGAAGAGACTATCTTTCAGTGCCGGCCCGTCTTTTATGTCTCTCCCCACTGTCCGACTGGTCATATTGTTTTTCATAGCAATTGTCCCGACACCTCCGAATCCCTCCGTACTTTCGCAGCAGTATAACGCATCGGGACCATGCTGATGGTCTCGTTCGACTCGAGAGTATGTGATAATTGTTGAGATTCTTTCCTCTAGCTAAGATAGTATGTCTCTTACTTAGCGATCATTTCATATTCCCTCTTAGCTCAGTTGGTAGAGCGCGTCACTAGTATGAGAGGTATAGAATGTTTGCCTAATGACGAGGTCAGTCGTTCAAGTCGGCTAGAGGGAAATATGAATGGAAAATTCCTTTTAACATTTTTGTTAGTAAAATATCTCAGCCTCTTGCGAGATTCCCGAATCCCCTGTCAGCTCTCTCTCTCCGCTAACGGAACCATCAGAACTGCAGCGTTGAATGTTCTTCCTACTTTTCATCTTTCTTGGAGGTAAGGGCATGGCACCTGGACCTGGTTGACACTTCTCGTCGAAAGACGGACGAGTGCTTCGTCCCTCTGATCTACCCTTGCGAGACATTTATTCAATATTTCCACATACTATGCAACTCGCGCCCTATCCCGTACTTTCATGCCAACATCGCATCCCTCTTTCAATGTGGGTATCAGTCGTTCAAAGGAAGGGAGTATTTCTTGTGTCAAATTAAAAGAATGACCCGAGCGGTGAGTGGCTGTCTGTCGTCTTTCTCTTCCAGTGCTGACATCATGCACAGTCCTACTGGTGGGATGGAATCGAAAGATTAAGCAGGTTCTTCCAAGTTCGACCGCGTTCTATGGTTGGTGTAGGGACGTTGTGCAAGAAAGAGACGGGATTTCGCGTGTCTTTTCTTTCGCTTTTTATTGTGTATCTTCTAGGCAACACACGCGGCCCGGACAAGTTCCTACCTTTCATGGTAAAGACGTCGCACCTGGAAGGTGCGAGCATCTTGCTTCCGCTTGACACAAATATCGGATGAGGGCCTCTTCCGTCTTTGCCTCATTCGCCGCACGTTCCTTCGTTTGGGTACCTCGTGAATTTGTTCTTTACTGGATGCATCAACCAGACTTCTCCATCACGGCATGCCAAGCTTTGTTCCAGTCCAGAAGGCTTCCTTTCTGTTTCTTCTGCGCGCCGTCCCTTTTAGTAGCTCATTTGGTACAGCGTATCATTGAGGAGAAGCATCAAACTCTTGCCAACAGTGGCCCGTGAACGAATACTTATCTTGCCAACGGAGACTAGGTTGCCTCCGTGTAGAAGACAATGCATGGAGTGCACAAGAAAGACTCGCAGTCAGTCATTCCGTACTGAAGTATATTACACCCTTTCTCGGCTATTTTGCCGTATTATCGACCTCTGCACTCCGCGCTATGAAGACCTGAGCGCCTGTTCGACTCTACTTATGATGACATATCCGTGTTTTTTCGCAGACTATTTTTCTTGGTCAGCCTCAACCAAGTCCGTGAACTTGAATGGGAAGATACATGCGCCCACGTTGCACATAGTGGTTTCGGGAGTGCTTTGGGATGTGTGTCTAATACATAGTTCGTCGTGATCGATGTATCGGAGCCTAGAGGCTCAATGGGGATGTTGCGTGGCCCATTGTCCCTGTGCATACGGTACCGTACTCATAAGATCAGGCCGCTGAGTGAACAATTACGGTACGGCATCATACGGTGTCGTAGTGGCACATCTTGTATAGCGTGCCCAAGTGGTATCGTACCGTGTAATGATGATGATGATACGGCATAACCCGCAGCATAATACGACTTCACGGGTTACTTTACAAAGGTCCAGGAACCGACGACGCGCCCCAATCTTTGATTGTGCCATTGAGTACTTTCTTCAAGGTATGATCGCACTCCCCAGGAAACTATCTTCAGCACCTCTGAATTCATTGTGGGCGCTTAGTGCTTGTCTTGATATGTGTACGTATCCACCGATAGGTGATCAGATTGGTATGTTCTCGTTCCTCGATCCCAAAGTCAAGTGTCTTCCCATAGCTAGTATACGTTTAATATCGAATCTCGCTGCGGCTTTTCGCAACCGGGGCGTGCCCTGTCTAGATCTGAGGGTGGAATTTGAAAGAACAACTCAGAAATGTGAAAACCCCGACCCAAATATGTCGGTGAGGGCATCCACGCCACAAGACCCATAACCTCTCTCAGAGCATCGCTTTCTTCAACGCGGTAAGGACGGCCTGTACAGTCGTTTGTTGCACACACTCTGAAAGCCATCAAATCCATGCCACTGATGCTTCGATCAAGGACCACCCCCATTTAGCAGCAGTGGAATGGGATCCAGTGGAACCAATGGTTGCTGTATCAAATCCATTCTGTTTAGGCGTCGATCAATGCCCAACCCCATTTAGTAACAGTCGAATGGCATCCAGTGAAACCAACGGCTGCTGAGGAAATCTATCAAACCCATTCTGTTCATGCTTCAATGGTTCATCTCGAATATATCCCTACTATTGGAGACGAGGCCGAGTGGAAGAGTATTTAAAAGGCTCCACCGACAGGTTCTATCAGGTAATCATGTACTTGACATGAGGCGTCAATGTCCTGTTCCTTGATGCCAAAGTCGAGTGTCTTCCCATCGCTGGCAGTATACGTGTCACCGGTACCCGTTTGATGCGCGTAAAACTTTGTGTCTTCTCATCGTTAACAGTGTATGGGTCACCGGTACCCGTTAGATGTTTGTAAAACTTTACGGTGGGCATTCGACTTCTGCGGCTTTTCGCGAAGGCTGACGCCTTGTATCTTTTCAAGAGTGGAAAAAACGAAAGTGAAAACCCCGTCTTGAATATTCCAGTGAGGGCATCCGATACGGACAACAAGAACCATAACCTCTCTCAGGCCATCGCTTTCTTCAACGCTGTAATGATGGCGTGTACAGTTGTTTGTTGCGCATACTCTGAAAGCCATCAAAGGCATGCCATCATGGTCATGCCTCGACAGTACATCCCCATTAAGATGAACGGTGCAAAATTCACCAGTAAGCCTATGGAAATCCATCATGTCCATTCTATGCTTCTTCGCTGGAACGTCCCCATTAAGATGAGCGGTGCAAAATTCACCACTCAGCTTACGGAACCCCATCAAATCCATTCTATGCTTCTTCGCTGGAACGTCCCCATCAAGGTGAACGGTGCAGAATTCACCAGTAAGCCTATGGGAATCCATCATGTCCATTCTATGCTTCTTCGCTGGAACGTCCCCATTAAGATGAGCGGTGCAAAATTCACCACTAAGCTTATGGAAACCCATCAAATCCATTCTATGCTTCTTCGCTGGAACGTCCCCATTAAGATGAGCGGTGCAAAATTCACCACTAAGCTTATGGAAACCCATCAAATCCATTCTATGCTTCTTCGCTGGAACGTCCCCATCAAGATGAACGGTGCAGAATTCACCAGTAAGCCTATGGGAATCCATCATGTCCATTCTATGCTTCTTCGCTGGAACGTCCCCATTAAGATGAGCGGTGCAAAATTCACCACTAAGCTTATGGAAACCCATCAAATCCATTCTATGCTTCTTCGCTGGAACGTCCCCATCAAGATGAACGGTGCAGAATTCACCAGTAAGCCTATGGAAATTCATCAAATCCATTTCTATTCATACTTCAATGGTCCATCTCGAATATATCCCTATTGGAAACGAGGCTGAGTGGAAGAGTAGTTAAATAGCGAGAGGAACGCGGGTGCACCAATTAAAGATGGCCTCCTACCCATTAGAGTTCTCACTTCAGAACCGCGTTGCAATGCTGAAAGCGACCTCCTTCGAATCGCTACTCTATGGTGCCCTCCTCCTCTAAAACTGTGTCAGTAATTACTCATATCATATTCTATTCAGCGACACACGCTGCCCTGGTAATTGGTACGGTCTGGAGAGTTGGTGCGTCTTTCGTCTTGACGCCTTGTCCACTTACACCAGACTAATGCCAGTCTCAGTGGTCCGTAATAGAGGCAGGATTCGTTTCATCCGGTGCGGATTAGTCATCGTGATGTACCTCATCGCGACATCCCCTCTTGCCCTTCGATGGAAATTCATCCAAGGCATCACCGACGACAAGACACAGGAAACCACATACATCTATTCTCATGGATGGATCCTCTTGAGTTCGATGTCCTTCATGGCAGTTATCTTGATCACGGGGTGCATTATGGTGAGCAGATACCATGATTATACTTACCTGTTGGAAGGATTTGACGCTGGCTTTGGTGTAGATCTGGTGGTGCTGGTTCTTTGCTGGTCAGAGATTGATGTTTGCCATCATTCCAGGACTATGCATCACCGTCGGAACGAGTTTAGCTCTTTATCATCATCGTCAAAAATTCGAACTGACGTCCAACCTAGTTTTTGCCAGTATTGGTCTTTATCAGATGACCGCTACACCCCCCTCAGGCAACGCATGTGTGGTCCAACTCGATTGGATGCTCCCATACTTCTCTATGGTGCTTGCCGTAACACTGTCATGCGCTCTAGTCACCTTATATCACATCGTAATGGATCGACGCATTGGGGGGAGAACCCTCCGGCTCTGGATAAAGGTCATCGTCGAGTCCTCATTATTGTTCGCTGCGGCGCCGGTTGCTTACATCATGAGTGACGCACATACGGGTTGCCCACTGCTTGTTGTGACCATGATTATGGTGAGCTTCAGCTCAATGTTTTGTCTTCCCGGTGCTAATATGTCATCGTCAGAGTTTGGCGCCGATCCTGGCCATCGCTCAGGTCCCGAGCAACCCTTGACGGCGAGGTCAGAACCCTGAACCCCGCAGGTCGGACACGAGGCCAATGCAGAATCGGCATCCAGTGAAAATCGAGAGGATTCAGCCGTTTGACTCCAGGAAGCTGCGACTTGGACGACTTTATGTTCCTTATGTAGTATATTTCACGATCGTGTTTCTCCCACTTTACCAATATGATCGAATCTCGATACCAACCATGTTGAAGATCTGCATATGAGCACAGCTGCTGATACTAGAGGTAGGCACGTTGATTGAAGATCGAGAGGATATCGAGGCGAGTCACAGAGAATGACGCTGGAGAGATACTGTGAAATTGGCTGAGTTTGCATCGGCACACATCCCGCTGGTTATACAATCGATCACTAGCGGGAGGTTACCGTTGAAAGGTATAGACTGCAGACACCAACGTAAAATGAGCGAGACGTTGGCACGAAATCAATAATGCCCGCACCTCCACTACTAATTCTCCGTCTACGGTCTGCAGCTACGGTCCTGGCGAATTAGGTGCACCTTCATTGGCAATTTGCTCTGCGCAACACGACAGA